AACGTAGCTGTGAGAGGGGAGAAGGGTTTAAGTAAATAATACCTATTGCCGGGTTATAATGAGAGCTGTGAGAGTAGTTATATAGAGTAGTTACAATGAACTGATGTCTAAGAAATTGATTAAAGTATGTAACCCCACATATATGTATGGAGTACTTACAAAGGTGTCGTTAGTGTCGTATTGTTTTATGTCGTAAAACCTAAATATTTTTATTGAAAGGGTTCTAAATGGACACAAAAGTCATATTATTATTTTTCACTTAGTTAAAACAAGATTCGTTGTTGTTTAAATCCCCTAAACATTTCTTAAAAACTTTACGACATAAGACAAAACGACACTTACAAACAATACGTGTACGTACGATGTCCAGAAATCTACCCTTAACCATAAGTGCCACGTTTGCGTAGGCAATAATTTGGCAGCCCTATTTCTCCATACACTCTACTAAGTCGTTTACGCCTACTCTTCGTATTAACATTAATAAACAAACTGACTCTTTGAAACCCGTATTCTCAGCCCCGCTGAATTGAGTACTGCAGATATATTTTATATATAGTTCAACGGCGAAAATGAAAATATACATATATCTGTATTAAAAATTGGGGTTTGCTGCCTTATAAAATCCACTACTTTTTCTTACAGTTGTGGGTATTTCCACTAACTTCATTATTACAGGACTATTGGCTATAAAAGTGCCATACACTCACCCATATTTTGTTGTGTCTACAGTTGGTACTTGCATATCGAAATACTTCATTTCGGTATCAAAATGAAATTGTTCTATTATCGAGTTCCAGTTTTCCCACTTCCCAGTATCCATATTGATGTAGTAGTCCCAGATTGAGCCAGGTGGGAAGCTGAATAAGTACCAGGTTACGAAATGGTTAGACCTCGCTTAAAGAGTTAACTTACTCAAAATTTGTATCGCCTTCTACGACCTCTCTAATATGCCTTTCAAATCCATCCTTTTCGGCATCCTTGAAATTCGAGGCGACGGCCCACAAAACAGACCAACCAAACATTTTGCTTATAAGCGGCTTATATTCATCCTCGCTGACGTTAGTCCACTTCTTCTGTTCAATCAGTGAAGCCAATAGTTCGCACAGCAACTGAACCTTGGCGCTGGTCACTTGA